ATCGCGTGTTCTTCGTACAATTGCAGTAAAACTTATGCTTTTTTCCCAATATACAAAACCGTAAGAAAGTCATCTTTTCGAAACTGCTGATTAAAAAGGGAAGGTCAATCTGAAAAAATGGGAAGGCTAAGAACTTTCACCCTTGAAATCATCACTTGGTGACAAAACCTCCACAATGTTTGGTTATAGCCACCACTGACCATGAGTTCATGCGGAGCAGCAATCATACTTAGTTAACAACATGCTAATTTTTCTTAGCGTGTGAAAAATTTGTATTTTTGTTGGAAGCCCTTGTTGTATCAAATTAGACCAGTTTCTAAGGTTTTAAATGAGTTGAATTTCCAGGGAAATCGAGAGTCAGGAGCTGTTCCTATTATACTTTGAAAATTATTGAATACACACCGAATTTTTTTGCTTTTTACGTGAAAATGCCTTTGACCATCATTGCAAATTCTATCAACTCGTTGACTTTTTTAATTTTATCGATCGTTGCCATCGCGCTTTCCCATCATAAATAAAAGCTTGTACCGGGAACAGGAACCCTCACAGACTCCTCAAATTGCAAGTGCTGTATGTGTGTGTGCGCGCAAGTGTTCGTTTCTCCATCTAAGTCTCCCAGGAAAGTAGATTACAGTCGGGAACTTCCGGGAAGGGGAAAGTTCTCACTCCGATCCTCAGTTGTGCCATCCGTTCCAAGTTCTACACTCTACTGTTCAAAAATCAATATTGACGCAACAGTTGGACTGGATTATTAAAAAAAAGGAAGCTAACCTACATTTTGGGAAAACATTACTGAGCGGTATTCTTAAGCTCATCCAGTCGTTGATTTTCACCTAGCGAGAATCCGAAATTGAGAAAAAGTACTGTAAGTGTGAAAATTATGGTTGAAACCTGTCTCTGATAATAAGTCCCATCGAGGAATAAATATTTGCTTTTCTTTTTTCTCAGCGCCGACTTGGTGTGGTGTGGCTCTGTTTCTCTATGCTGAATTCAGTCCAATTGGTCAGACGTAGAAAGGAATCCAATTCGGTGAAAGTTGTTCGCCAAGTTCCTTCTCAATAATTGGCTCCAGCTGGAAAAAAAGGATTCCATTGTTTGTTTTAACCGATGAATTCTGGTCGAAATCCTTAACATCGGACACCCCCCCCCCCCCCGATAAATCCCCCTTCCCTCCTGAAAAGCACCCCAGCCAGGGTTCCCTGAAAGCAAAATTTTACTTATCTCGGGTTCTGATATCCTACACTGTTAAAGCATTTGTAATGTTTTCGTAACCTTGGATCAACAATGGCGCTTTGAAAACTTCGTTATATGACGTCATCCACCGCAGTTTGACACCCGGTTGGTGGATGGTTTCATCCATCACAGAGAAACGCATTTGCACTGGTTGATACTCGACGTGATACCCGGATGAAAGCAAGGTGGAAGAAACCAAGGACGTCATTACTGCGACGGATGACGTCACAAACCGAATTTTCGAAACGTGATATCCCGGTTAATTTTGAACGTAAAGAATTGCCGTTTGGACAGATCTTATTATTTTTAGTTGATCTACAAGAATCAAGCATCAAAAATGATCCTGTGACCAGCACAACTGATCCATCAAAAACGGACTGCGCACAGAGTTCGAAACTCACAGGCGCTAACGCGCCAAATGCGACTAAAAAATCAGTCATGGCGCCTAAAAAATGAAGGCTCTGCGCCAACGTGGCCCCCAAAAATTGCCCCCGAATAATCTGGATTTTCATAGGAAGAAAGAGAAACACATCTATTTGAATTAAAAAAAAACTCAGAATTTTCAGCACTACAAGTGAAAGATTTTTCTATTCTTCACGATTTCATTCTTAGTGATTTTGTCTTCCCCAAGTTACAGCTACTTACTGGTTCTGTTCCGAACAAATCTTTCGTCTAACTTTTCACTAAATGCGCCGTAATATATAGGCAAAAATTCAATTTGGCCCCTAATACATCTTCAATGGCGCCTAAAAATTGGGCTTGATGCGCCACATGGCTCCTAAACTCAATGATGAGTTTCGAACACTGATCGCACATGTGTTCAGCTCAGAGTATAATGGAGTGACTCTACTAACTCCAGCTCAGGCGACCGGTTCACAGCGTGGAGGACCAGGATGAGGACCACTCGGCACACATCGGCAGCGATGTATCGCCTGTCCTGTCGTCAGTCGTCATCAGATCTGGTCCAGATCTTCTGATACTCCTTCCACCCCTCTCTGCCACGAGTTCCCAGTCCCTCTCCGTGTCTTCGCTCCGTTATGACATTCCACCTTGTTTGATGTGCGAATAATTAGTTACTCGGAACCACTGTCGCCAGGTCGCCTCGTAAGCTCCATCGTCAGTCGTGATCCCGAGGAAGCTTTTTATGGGCGCTGTCCCCAGGTTTCCTTCACCAATCTTAAAATTTGTCTCCCTGGCGAAAGAATGTAAAGCCATTCTATGGTTGCAAAACTCGCAAAAATCACTCCATTTTTTTAGGAACATGACTGTGCAATTCATCAGGGTGTCTAGCATCAGGATTTTCCCGATTTTCCCGACTCTATCAGGATTCGAGGATTTTCAGAGCAATTTAACTAGGTACAATAAAAAGAAAAAAAATAGTGTATTTCCTTCAGAAAATACACTGTAAAATGAAATCGAACGTTTTCCATCTAAAGCACTTGGCGAGCCTTCAAAATGTTTCCATTCTCTCTCCCCCCCCCCCATTACAATCATCAACATTAATTTTCCATCAAATTCCATTTCAAAATATCTTTCAACAATTTTTCACTCATCAAATTTCCCCTATGTTTTGTCAATGTCGCTCTAGGGAGCGTGCATAAATTACGTAACGAACTTTTTCGGAATTTTTAATCCCCTTCCCCCTTTCCCCCTCTCACCCTTCCCCCTCGTAATGTAACCCTGAACCTTCCCCATTTAAATTCTCAAAAATTATCGGGAACTGTTGCATATTTAGCTGTGTAAAATCGGAAGTATTTTTAATGATAGTGTGACAAATAACTTCGTAGAAATGAGGATGGCACACTTTTTATTTTGTGTATTTTTTACCAACAGAGGGTTACTTATCGCTAGCACCGATCCCCATCTTGTAACGCAGGCTCTTACTCCCTCTCTCCAGAGTGTTGTGTAATTTATGAACGCTACCCTAAAAGCAGTCACGATATTTTTAACGACGACTTTATTGAAAGATTTTAGTACGCGCTAAAATCACGACTACAAACCTTCTCTACACCTCAGATCCATGAGCAATCGCGGCAGTGGCGGTGGCGTGCTTTGCGATATATCGATTGATTGACCATTTAAACTTATGGAACAGTATCGATTAACAGCGTGTTCGCAGCGAGCACCTTAATAATCGATTATTTACCACGGCTTCAAATGGAGAAATATCGATAGATTGCAAAGCACGCCACGCCACAGAATCGCGTACTCTGTAATCCGGTTGAGCATTTGTTTGGTTTACACGGCTCTCGGACCCGGGAGCCTTCATTTTGATCGGCCGAGGCGTGAATGATCGATTATCGATATTTCTCTATTTGAAGCTATGGCAAAGAATCGATTATCGAGGTGTTCGTTGCCAACACCCCGTGTATCGATTATTTTCTATAGGTTTAAACGGCCGATCAATTGAAATTTCTCCATTTGAAGCTATGACAAAGAATCGACTATCGAGGTGTTCGTTGCCAACACCCTGTGCATCGATCTTTTTCTGTATTTCTCCATTTGAAGCTATGACAAAGAATTGATTATCGAGGTGTTCGTTGCAGACACCCTGTGTATCGATCTTTTTCTATAGGTTTAAACGGCCGATCAATTGAAATTTCTCCATTTGAAGCTATGGCAAAGAATCGATTATCGAGGTGTTCGTTGCCAACACCCTGTGTATCGATCTTTTTCTATACGTTTAAACGGCCGATCAATCGATTTATCGCAAAGGGCGCCACGCCACCGCCGAAGAGCCCCTTGACACCGCGCCGCGCCGACGATCCCGTATCGAGCGAAAGCAAGGAGCCGACGTTCATTCCGAGACGACTCGGATGGCTCAGTCTCAGTCGTGTGACTTGTGTGGGCTATAGCTTATTGGGAGCTTTTAAAGGGCTTTAAGTCGAGGAAAAGCGAACGGAACGGGGAGGGGCCGACGGGATTCGAGCCGGAGTCCCTCTCGGAGCTGGCCTTCTTTCTTCTGGCAAAATAACCTCGCCGAAATTAAGCCGATTTTCCTGACCCTAGAGACACCCCCTCACCCCGCGCCCCTGCTACGAGACCTCCGATATCAGAGCGTTCGGGGCTGAAACTGATGGAGTCGTCGCACGGTGGGCTCGGATTTCTTCTTGATCGGATTATCAAGTTGTTGTGCTACCTTTGAAGCGCATTTATCGAGCAGGCAAACTGCAATGAATTTTTTTTTTTTTTTTTTTTTTTTTTCAGTGATTGTTAAAATTTGTTTAATACAAAGCTACCACAGTCAAGGAATACCGGGAAACCGGAAAATGTCACGGAATTGTTAAAAGTCAAAGAAAAGCTGGAAATGTCTAGTGAATGTCGGTATATAGGTACTCTGAATGCTGTCACGCGTTAGGGCGTTACGGGTTGTCCGTAAATACGTAACGCGACTTATTTTGTGATTTTTTAAACTCCCAACGACCCTTTGTTACTCGATTGTATAACGCTGGTCCAGACACCTCAGAGCAGCCCCCTCTTCAGGGGTGCAGAAAGTTCTTCTCCTTCACATTTTTTGAGGCAGCCTTCGCATTTTTTGAGGATGCCTTCACATTGCTGTCTTTTTTTACCCCTTTGCGGGTGCCTACACATTTGCCCCGTGATCGACCGATCGAGCACTTTCTGCACCCCTGAGTCCTCAGACCATGAGCACTGCCAAATGTGTTTTTTTAAAAATGTTTTTAGAGATCTTCGAGTCGACCACTCTTATGTCTAGCAACTAGTGTTTTGATGTGGACTAACGTTGTGCGTTGGTTTTTGTGTTTCAGAAGCTGCAAACGATTGACGAGGACTTCTGCGGGCTGGACGTGAACACGCCGATCGGGGGCGAGAGTCCCGCCTCGGCGGTGGCCCCCCTCCTCTTCGACAAGCGACTCACAGCCGTCGCCGCCACCTCCACCGGCAACTACACCGTCGTCTTCGTTGGAACCGCCGACGGACACCTCAAAAAGGTAAACCCCGAAACATAAGGTTTTTTCCTAAATCAGAAGTAAGCATTCGGACGATCAAGTAGCACGTAAGTAGAGGTGCTTATTATTCTCGACCAAATCGTAAAAGTCAGAGTCGCAACGGTCAGGGAATATCGGGAAATGTCAGGGAAAATAACGAAAATGTCAGGGAAAAATCATTGTCAAGTCACCTTTATTTCCTTTCTAGAATAGGTTTGACTTTTTGAACAACAAAAGCCTGGAAATTCTTTAAAATCGTGCATTTTTAAGCATCTGGCACATCCACAATCGTCAGGGACTTTTACCAAAATTTGACAGAGAAATCAGGAAAATGTCAGGGAAATTAATTTTCTTAATTCTGTGGCAACCCTAAAATCGTAAGCCTCTCTTTCAAAAATACAAAAACGAAAAAAAAAAACCCAATAGCTGTCCATGAAAAGAAATTTCTCCTAGCTATTCTTAAGGGTTCTTCGTTATTTACTGTTGTGATGGAGAGGAAGAGGTAGGCCAGCCATACCTACGTAATTCAAGAAGGGTGAAAGGTTTTCTGACGAGTGTATTACATTGAGGGTCATAAAGTTGGCTAAAATGCCTAACGTCGTAACCCTTGAACAGCGCAATGCAAAGAATAGCTATGCAAAAAGAGGGTGAGAAGCTCATGATTTAGGTTAATACAGGAAATGAAATTAAAATCCCCTAAGAGTGCATTGATTTTGACACAGAGAACAGTGGGAAGAATATTTATTTTGTGCCAAGGAAATCTAAATTCAATATAAGACTTCTGTCAATTTTTCTGGAAGTGTTTTTTTTCTGAAGCTTCTTTGAGAAGCGATGATTTTTTCGAATTTTATCGTCACCGACAAATCATATCGATTTTTTTCTATTATTTATTTATTATTTCCTCTCATTTTCTATATCCAACAAACTTTTATTTCGACGAAGCTACTAATCATTCGCGTAATTACGATAAACAAAAGCCCAGCGACCGCCGAGAAAAAGTTGCGGCGCGGACTAAAATTAAGCTTTATTTTTTGTACCTGGGGAGTGCACGCTTGTTTTTGCACCGAGTTAGTAAATAGAAGCCCTCAGGATGCGTAACTTTGTAAATGTATTGCCTAAGCATGTTTTTCGCCCGTATGAACATGAGAGCCAACTTCCTGTCCCGTACACCCTCCGACCCCTCCGTGCTCTCTTTCTCCGCGAGCTGCCCAGATTCGTGGATCATCCTCCCGCACGATTCTCCGAGTTGCCGTTCGATGATCCAAAGCCCTGGCAACAACATCTATAGTATGAGCTGTACAGTATTCATAACTTTTGTAGTTTTTTTTCGAAAGGCGGCAGCACCGGTGGTTCTCGTACTTACTCCTCTGCGGAACAAGCAAACGCCTTAAAATGAGAGGAAATAGAGGAGGGGCAAATATTATTTGCCGTAATATCGTCGTTTCCCTCACGAAAGGACGTAACTGCATTTCAGTGTTGCCAAATTTCCCTTTGAAATTGTTTTTTTATCGAAAAAATCTTGGGAATTTGGAACTGAAAATTTCACTGATTTTTCCTCTGATCTCGTGTAATAATCAGAAAAAATTTCGATCAAAACTGCTGCGATACATGCTTGTGAAAAATTGAATTGTTTGAGTCAATTTTGCAACCTTGAAGTGGAGATACGTTCCTTCGTCCCGGAAACGACGATCATGAAAATAAGTCAGGAGGAGTTTTACTCTCTTCCGACAAAACATGGTGTGTGGGGTCATGCACAGCTGCAGCAGTGAATGACATGGTCTCTCTGGTTTTTTCTGTCCATTTGTTCTTCTTTTTAATCAGTGATTTGTGTGACAGTGGCAGTTCTCGCAATTTGGCAACAGTGGGCTTTTAAGAAATTCATGTACCACAATAAACTGATTTAGTGGCTACGTCATTCGATATAAAATCTAACCTCGGTTCAAATGAAAACAATCACAGAACCTTGTCTCTGATTCGCACCCTTTAAAACAAACTCTCTTTTACTTTCCACAAAAAGTTAAACCTACTTTTTCTACAACCTAAGAACTTTTGTCTTGGAACTTCAGAACTCGTCAATGTATGAACTTTCAGGGTCCAATTTGCGGCAAAATTTTCACATTTTCTTCCTCTCCACATTTGCAAAAAGTTACGAAAAAACTTTTCCCGGAAGATGTGCGAAGATCCACTCACATTTTTTAAAAAAAATAACTTTTTGAAAATCAAACATTTTTGAAGAAAACTTCTCATTGTCGTGTCCTCAGAGGACATGCACTTTATGTTGCATCTGTTGTCTTAGCGGTAGAGCCCCTTTACAGGATTGCCATGTCCAGCGGAAATCCTCTGAATTTCCATGTGCAAGCGTGCGAGCATATTTCCGTGCATTATTGGCCAATGGCAACGGAGCACCTCGAGCATAATCATCACGGGCAAGAATCTTGGCGTGTTGTGTGTAAACGCCAGACGTTTTCATCTGACAGCTCTGCGATTGAAAATGTAGCTCGCAAATGGAATCTCTCGAGCCGGGGCCGTGTTGCATTCGAGCAAGCGCGGGTTTTAATCAAAACTCCGTTAATTTGACACCAGAACATTAGAACAACCAACTTCCGTGTCACGGCGGTTAACAGGTTAGCGCGCTTGACTGCCAGCCCGGCCCGTAGGTCGTGGGGCGTGGGGCGTGAGTGAATCGTGGTTGGTTTTTCTGAGATGCCACGGAAGTAGAAGACGCCCGCCCTAGTCAACATGCTAGTGCTCCTTTTTCTCAAATTAATGAATGGAGAAAATTAATAACAGCATCCCAGCAGGGTGTCTACAAGTCCAGAATTTCCGGAAAGTCCGGAAAAAATACTGATTTTTTAAGGGCGGCCCGGAAGGAGAGTATAGACAGATGTGAAACTCCGAAAATTCATCAGGCCTTCACCGATGCCTCCGCGAATAAAGTTAGGGCCCAGAAATGCAGCTAACCTATGAATTTCAAAAGTCCAGAGCGATTTACAAATACAATTGTTACGAACCGTCGTTTATAAAGCATGTGATTGGCTTACTTTTTGCACATTTTTACTTATTTTTGCGAAAGAACGCTCATTTATGTACATTCTTGGCCATCTTGGTTAGAATTGAAATCTGTAGGCTGGCAGTGAAATTTCGTGTGTTAGAAGTTGCTCAGAAGGGTGGCTGCACTTTTGGGCCCTAAGCTCTCCATCAAGCGATCTGTCCATACTCCTACCCGGAAGTACTGAAAATGTGCGGAATTTCCGCAAGGAGTTCCGGAATTCTTTCATTTTTGTGGCAAATCTGAGCGAGAAATTCAAAACTTTGAAATTTTCAGAATTTCGTCAAATGGAGGTACTGAAAAAGTACGGACTTTTTCTGTTGAGGAGGTACTGAATTTCTTGGGAATGTACTGGAAAAGCACTGTAAAAGTACCGATTTTTGGCCAGCCTGTTCTAGTAGACACCCTTCACAAGTTTCGATATTTAATGGGCCTAGCCTGCTGAAAACCTGATAATAGAGAAATTGTAGGTGTCTCAAATTTCGTGAATTTCATCTTTAAAATGATACTACTAGGAAATCTGAGCACGACGATATCCTTGGCTTCTAAATTGGACAATTATTGGAGAAAATAGGACAAAATAACCTAATCTGCCTAAACACATGTGTTTAAATGGAAAGTGCCGCCAGATGACGTCGTGAGGCGGCACATTTTCTCACTTTTAAGTATATTTTTCTCCAATTTCCCACGTCAGAAAAAAAGTATGAAAAATACTGCGAATTCAGCTCATTAGACACTCTCAGATGAAGCAATAATTTTTTTGTGTTTAAATTCTCCATTCTATAAGTTCTTTCGATCGAAGCTTTATCGACCCCTGAAGACCTTCATTTCAGTTTATCTAGGTATGCAGTGCTCCTGCGAAAACCCTTGTTTCATCGTATCAATTATATCGTAGACTAGACTTTGTCTTATACACGGGATTCAGGCCTCTTCCACCCTCGATCAGAACCACCAGAAGGGTTTTAACACCTAGGCTTTTACGTTTTAGGATTCTCTACAGTTTTGCGCCTCTCAGAATGTTACGCGCCCCGGCTGTAGCCTAATGGCAGATCCAGCCTTGCGTACTGAAGTACAGTAAAAGGTCGCCAAGTCGAACTACGGTCAAGACAAAATGCCGGCTAGGTCGATTTTTTTCGATCCCCAGGCACAATATCCGTGTTAGGTGGAGAATCGGTTAAAATTGCTGCGAAAGTCGGAATTTTTTTTCGGTCCCTGCACAATTCGACTTAGCGAGCTTTCACTGTGTACTTTATCAGCCGCGTGTTTTTTGAAGACATCAGGAAAAAATGGCACGTGTGCAGTATGCACCGCGAAACGTTTCATAGGTAGAGAGGTCATGAGAATTTCCTCTGCGCGCCACAGCAGTCTCTTAGCGCCTGCCAGAATGCTTTGTAAGACACAAAGGCCATTGTGCGTTCCGTAAGAATATTGTAACGCTCTCAAGATATGCCCATGACGTCATTTTTCTTGTCGTGAATTTGATTCTCAGTGAATACGGCAAATAGCTTTTGAAAAAATCTCAAAACTTCGATCCCAATGCCGGTTAAACATTTATTCTAATAAAGGCAAGACGTCAGTAACATCGATTCAAAGTTAATATCACACTGACACTACTTGTAACCGTTTGAGTCAGTTCGATTAGTATTGTCTGCTAGGTACTGAGGTCAGCATATTGGTCAGTGTTTTAGAATTGTTCGTAATGGCAGCAATGCAAATGAAACAACTGCCTCTATAACCGGGGACTACATTCTAATTATACTTTCTAAAGAAAAAAAGCCTTATCTAGTGATGATAGGAATCGAAGTATTTTCCAGCCCCCCACATGATTTTCCCCGAGAATCTTGTGCGCATAAGCAGGCAGTGAATGCCCCAGTCAGTAAACCCCCTTAAAGCGGGGAACTTTGCTATTGGTCAGTGTTTTAGAATTGTTCGTAATGGTAGTAATGCAAATGATACAACTGCCTCTATAACCGGGGACTACATTCTAATTATACTTTATAAAGAAAAAAGCCTTATCTATAATGATGATAGGAATCGAAGTATTTTCCAGCCTCTCACATGATTTTCCCCGAGAATCTTGTGCGCATAAGCAGGCAGTGCGTGCCCCAGTCAGTAAACCCCCTTAAAGCGGGGGAACTTTGCAATCGCTGTAATAAGCTCCGAGGAAACTTTCCGATCATGGGCACCCGTCGAGAACTTTAGGCAGCTGCATCGGATCCTAATACGGTCGCTACCTCGGCGAACGCGAAAGGAATTCGGTAATTAAAAACAAAAAAGGCAGGGCAGGGCAAGAGTGGCGTGTCGAGAGGGGGTGGTAGTGGACGGAGCGGGGGCGCGGGGGACGAGGGTTGCTCCGCCGGCAGCCCGCGAGGACCGAGAACTTGCCGGCTGTCGGCAACGTTTCAGCACAAAATCAATACGGTACGGTATTACCGTAGATGCCGGCCGGCGGCGCGAGGCTGCGTACGGTAGTACCGTGCGCCCGGCGCGAAGACGGGCACGGCCGGAGGAGAGAAGGAGACTTGCGCCCGTGAAAATTGGCAATCGATAGACAAGTACACCTGTATGCATGCCGCTCTCGCCGCGCGCCCGCTAGCACGTGTGTGCCCGGCCCGGCGTCCAATGCACCCTCGCGTGTTCCGAGGGACCCGCCGCCGGGGAGGGGGATGTTTCATGCTCTCGTGAACTCCTTGTCCCTGGCGTGTGCCTCATTTTCGCGACGTAATAACGTGACCATTCGGGCATGAGCATTAGTAGTAGATGGCAAGGTTAACGGTTGATGAATATCAAAAAGACCCAACTGACAATGAGTTCCATGGCCCAGCACTGATACACCCAGAAAATATAACCAACGTATTTTTCACCGTCCACCGGCATAAGTAGGGGCCTTTTAGTCCGCGGAAACTTAAGTTTGAGCTATTCACAGAATAGTGAGGATAGTCCTCTAATTAAGAACATTTGAGGGGCTTGGAGTATAAGGCGCATAAGTGCAGTTTTTGCTATTTCGAAAAACGCGTGTTTGAAGTTTCGAATTTACATGGATCCTGGTAGCGGAAAGAAAGTTCAAACTGACTTTTTAATGTTTAAAAATTGGAATTCGGGAGCGAATTTTTCACAGAATGGGCATCATGACTATAGTTTTACTTGAAATCACTTATATCTCAATTTTTTCAAAAACTGCACTTATGCGCCCTATCCTCAAAGCCCTTCATTTGGGTCAATCGACGTAACGCCTGCAAATGTCAAGACAAACCGGAGTGACAGCCGTCTGAAGTTTGCGCATCAGAAAACGGGTAGTTTTGAGAGAAATCTACCTAATTGCATTGCCCTGCTTATTGTCGGATTATGTTATACTACTTCACGCCCTCCCGTGAGCACAAAAATGAACAAAGCTGCTCTCAACCTATGTCGAAATTTCTAAATTCGATTTCTTGATTCGATATCTCATAAATCGCTCTACTGAAAATTTCGACCCTGTGGACAAAGGCCCCTTGTCCCGTGGAAGGCCACATTTGATGCGATTGAAAATGCAGTTCTTTTGAGAGGCAATTTACCCGTAGTTGAAGGAGTGCCTTTTTCGACTTCGCCGGACGCGAAACGGGACCGAATTATTCGGTTGATACCAGAACAGTGGCGATTTTGCAAGTTGGCGACATTGTTTTTCCTCCATTTAAATCCATTTGGACCTATAAATTCTGGCTCATCTGAAAAAACACTTATGTGCATAGGGAAACTAATGGTACATACGTCATGTTTTTAAAACGGGCCGGAATTTATAGGTCCAAATTGCAAAATGCAGTCCATTTAAAATATCGATATTAGGTGAGGCAAGTTACCTCGTCGAGAGTCAATTGTTTTGTTTACATTTAAATTGCAAAAAGCCGGTGCTGCCAGCTTTCAAGAGTCGCCACTAAAAAAGCTCAGAAACAGCGTACATACCGCCCCCCCCTTACTTAGCTCTTCATTGCGCGATGCAGTTCATTTGAGTCTGTTGATACTTATTATAGTACAGTGAGGTCTGATAAACACTGAACTGTTCCACCTTCGAGTTTCATTCCTCGCCGAGACTTCACTATTTTTGAATTCCATCATGATTTTTATGAGGTGATTTCGTCTTCAATTCGCCAACCAAGATCGGTAGGATCGAGTTCAGATCTGGTAGCCAATTTTGTCTTTCGCGTCATTTTTCGAACGTATTACACGCTTATTATTTGAATTACATTTTGCAAAAAGGAACCACTATCTTCGACTCTCCCATAAAAGCACATAACTGCTTAGGTAAACCAACGGCATGTATGTTGTTTCTAAAATGGGCCAGAAATAGTGGTTCCTTATTGCAAAATGTAATCCATTTTATCGTCACAACCTTCTAGCCAAAATATCACAAACGCCATGCGACATCTCGAACTTTCCACCGCCATTTTAATTTTTTACAGAGAAATTGTTCGTCGAAGCTGTCCGAAAATTTCACTGAATTCCTTTTGTGCTGCCGATAAAGCTCAGTAAAATTTTCGAACAGATTCAACCAACAGTATATCACTATAAAAATATAAAATGACGGCGAAAATTCTGACACGTTGCGTGGCGCTTGCGATACTCTAGTCGGAAGGTGACGATATTGCTAGTGCAAACATTTTACACGAATCGTTTCTTATGCATTTTCATTTCGTTCCCGCAGTGAGGATTCCACATTTTCCCTGGCTCACGCTCAGCTCGTATCTTATTTTGAAATCGAATAGTAAGTCGGATGAGAAAGACGAAATCTGTCGGTAAACAAAAAGTGATTCGGGCCCGGCCGCTTCCGCATTCCAGTGGCGTGGCGTGAATTGCGATATATCGATTGTTACGCCATTTAAACCTATGGTAAAGAATCGATTATTAAGGTGTTCGCTGCGAAGTGCGAACACCCTGTTTATCGATCCTTTTCCATAGGTTTAAATGGCATAACAATCGATATATCGCAGTTCACGCCACGCCACTGACACCGTGATGATGACAGTTTTATAATTTGAAATCATTGTTTTCTCTCGAGATCGTGCACTGTGACTAACTCTCAGGGTGTGTACCTACTCTAGTCTCAAGATTTCTCTCCGAGTCCGTATTTTTAGTCGGGTGACCAATCTGGCAAATTGGCAACATTGTTTTTTCCTCCATTTGAACCCACGACAATGTATCGATTCTTGGAGAGGCCAAGTTGCTAGACCAACCTTTGGACGACACGCCTTTAATTCGATAACAGCCAGGGTCCGACGATTCGTTGCGTAGGTGAGGGGGCAGTGGCTGAGGCCCCCCCCCCCCCGCAATTGGATTCCAAAATCAGTTCTCTTCATAAAGGAAAAATAAAAAAAAGTTGATTTTCGTTGACTCTTGACTTTGACTTGACTCTTGACGTTGACTGGACTTCATAAGGTGTCCCACCCCCCTTCTTTCATTATTAATTTTGTTTCCTAAATGTACTGCAGAAGAGAGTCGATAAATAAATGTACGGTAACCACACAACTTAAGAATGATAAATCAATTTTTAAGAAACTTACCGCTTTCACTATAAAAGTAATTTTTAAAACATTGATTTATCGTTTACGTATTCTTTCACTGTTAGTTTAAAAATTTTCATCATGCGAAACTTATCCCTGTTTTATTAACTTGGACCTTTGCAAGTTTCAAATGACTGCCTGTGTTAATTGTTCCTTGATGTGTAAGTTTCCTCTGAAGTATACCTATATATTTCTTGCACTTTGCTAACGTTGGAGTTGCTTGTTTCAGATTGTGGTTGAATCAGATAAAGTTGCGCAAGAGTACCGAGACCTGGAGATAGACCCTGGTTCTTCCGTCAACGCAGATCTAGCCTTTGATCCACAGCTGATGAATCTCTATGTCATGACAGAAAAGAGAGTAAGTTGTTTTTAATTGAAGATGGAGAGAGTATATAGTAGAAATTTTTTTTACAAGCGGTGGCATCTTCAAACCAAAAAAAGAAAAAATTAAGGAATGCTAAATGGGGACAGGATGAAAAGAATTATGGAGGATTCATTGTTCCCAGCTCTTTTCTTTCACTGCCCCTTAATTTTGCATGATAGTCCAGAATTATCCTCTGTGTTACAGTTAAATATTTACTTATCCATCTGTGCATAGGCAGAACCTCTTTAGGTTGGTTGTAACTCATCAGAGGGTGAGTAAAATTATTTCTGAGCGCACCCTCTTTCCATGAGATTCACTATAAGGTATCCTACTGGGAATGTAAGTCATTTATCCACAACAGTAAAACACCTAACTTCTGGAATTTTGGAATATTGAAGGTATTCGTAATTTAATTACATTTGACTCGAAAAAAAGGAATACTTTTGAAAAAAAACAATACTTACCGAGAACACCCACCTTAGGGTTCTTATTTTTAAAAATACTTTTTGTCTACAGTGCGTTTCTCTTCCTGTTATTGTTTGTTAAGTATGTATTTTTTTGTTCTCAATCTAACCAAATGCAGCAGTTTCTACCAGTATCTAATTGCTCTTTTTTCATTTTTCAATAGATATCGAAAGTAAGGGTACAAGAATGCAGTGTTTACCGCAACTGCCTTGAGTGCCTTGGTGCGAAAGACCCTTATTGCGGATGGTGTTCCTTGGAAAATAAGTAAGCTACCTTCTTTACATATTTTTAAGGACAGTGATAAACTATGAACAGGAATCAATACAACATTTCCATCAGAGATTCTATCGTTGAAAAATGACATAGAACATAGACAATGGATTTCCATCAATGTAGAACAGCATCTTATATTTCACTAGTATTATGAGGTTTTTTCATGTTGTATCACTTCATTGCTGATTCACAGAAATTTTATTACTAATATACCTATTTATTAGGCTGAAATAAAGATATCTCTCCAATTAAAAGAAATGGTTGCGTCCTAAAGCCAGTCTAAAAAACTTCCTGGTTCTTTCTTGTCAGAGGGTGCTCAACTCAAAGAGACGGTATCCACTAATTTCAGCCAGGAACTGTTAAACTAGTGTTTTTTTCAAGTCATTGTCATAATAGTAAGTCTCAGTCATAATGCTATGTGGTAAATTTAACATCTTCCACCTACTTCCTTGGATTTTTATTTTTCAGAAGAAAAATATCTTTATTGAAAACAAGGACATTTTCTATGAGTGGTAGGCACTAATTAATAGACAGGAGAGGATGACTGACTTTCCATCTCAAATATTTGATCTCTTCAGCTGATTTTCGACCTTAATTACATTTCTTTTTTATCCAAGAAAAGTCCAAGATGGTGCTACAGTATTTTGTACCCAAGAATAATTTTATCATGCCTCTAATATGTGTAATTAATTTGTGTTATTTAGGTGCAGTCTCAGAAGTGATTGTGCAGATGCTGCCAAAGATGCCTTATATTGGATTTCATACAAAAGTGGTCGATGTACAACTGTCATCTCTGTCACACCTAAGGAGCTCCAAAGAACTACTGCTCGAACGGTGAGCGAGCCTATTTTTGTCCTATCTTTCTAATGTATGAGAATGCGTTAGTTAAGTTTTCTTTTTTATTGTTTCTTTCAAAACTATTAAGTGAGCTAAGTTCACTGTTTTTTTATAAATTTCTTGATAACAGCAACTGGGAGAAAAGTTCACTCATAAGTGCAAAAAAGTAGGGAAGCCAAAACGAAGTTTGACCTGTGTTGCTTTTGAATATATGTGATTGATGTATGAATACCGGCTCAAAGGATGTTTATGTCAAGATGCTTGAAAATAAATGTTTTTTTACCACTATTTGATGTATCACTTATCTCATCTTCCCATTATCATAACTATTAGTAACTGACTCAATTCTGTTTTCACTTAGCTTGAGCTGGCCATTGAGAACTTACCAACTCTTTCTGGACAATTTCTGTGTGCTTTCTCAATAATGGACAAGACACTTATCACAAATGCAACCCTCAAACAAGGCGGTATCACCTGTACAACACCTCGCACTGATGTACTTCCTCCAATTCAACAAGGACAACGTAAGATCTCTTTTCAATTTTGTTAATTTTTCTTTCTCAAAGGTGTATGGAAAATAATACATCTTTAACTAATACTGCTCATATTCAAGTCGCTTGTCTTACATTAATCATAACAACCTGTAGGTTTTATTATGTTCTCTGTGGGAAGAAAAATATAGAAATCTGTAACTCTCTATTCAAACTGACTGGAATCCGCCCATGTTAGTGATATGGATCGTTCAAAAAAATATTTTTTGGATGAAAGGTAAGGATGATTGATTCAGACCCTGAAATTTATTGACCCTTTACTAAACAAAGCTCTGAAAGTACAGATTGATGTAATGCAGTCTTTGAGTTATGTAAAAGCAAAAACATAAGGGAAAGAACTGCAATAATTTAACATCCTCTCCCTAACCAACCTGGTCTGAATCATTATAATTTTCTCAACTTTCCTTTTTGTTTCAACAGATAATTTTACTGCCAAACTTTCGGTACGAATGACATCTGGTCCAGATTTTGTAGCAACTAACTTCACTTTTTTCGATTGTAATACCTACACATCATGCACTCAGTGTGTATCATCTTCATTTCCTTGTGACTGGTGTGTTGACGGCCATCGATGTACACATGACACGGCAGAAAACTGCAGAAACGATATTTTAGTCACTGGAGTTAGCGTAAGTTCTTAAGTATTCATGGTTTACTTCTAGTGAATAAATATTGGCAGGCGGTGTGCTTTCACCAACTGTGTTGACAACATATTTTTTTTTAAATGGTGGGCGTTTGTTTTATACCCGTGCTAGTTTCAAAAATTAATTTGCTTGTTTCATAAAAGACTTCCTCAGAATCTCAGCAGTGATAGAAACTTTTGCCTCAGGGAACTCAACATTATGTCACCTAAATGTGTTGCTCACTTTTTTGCTGACTGTTTAGCTACATAACCTCGAGGTGTTTAAAGAGTATTTGGTCCGCACTATTTTATGATACTTAGCAGAGTTCAAATTGTTTACTATCAGAAATTTTTGGATTTGTTTGACTTTGCTTCCCCCGTAAAATAGTGTGAATCCAGCATTATTTTACCATCTCATTACGTACAGTTTGAGCCACATTTTAAGTGTTTTTTCCTCGTTTAGCTACTTATTCTGTATTGAGTTAGACAATTTGATCCAAATTTGGCCTATTTTTAAGCAATTTGCTCAACAAATTTCGAAACAAGTTGTTAAAATATAATTTTGAGGTTTGAGAGGTGGAACCTCAAACGTAGGAATTAACCCTTATTGCCAAGAAACAGGAGGAGAGTCTTTATTTGGTGCTGGTTTATGTGTTGCTATTTTTATCATTGTAACATGCCAGTTATCATTTGCCCTTAGGGCATCGAAGATTCCTTACCTGAATTTCGGGCAAGTTTCTGTTCACATGTAATTGTCTTATTGATCATAAGGAGCATTTCAATAGGTAACCACAAAGCAAACAGGAAGTACTTAATTCACATTTTTTGACCCCACTTCAAAATTGGAGTTCGTCACATAGTCATAAGTTGATAGAAAAAGCAGAATAGAGTTCTTAAAAGAGTCCAGATTTTTAGCATAATTCAATAAAAACAAGTTTCATCCATCTTTTTTCTCTCTTTTCCTGCCTTTTAAAGATATGAAGCATCCAACTTCTTGATTCCAAAGAGGAGAGATTAGAGGACTTCTCCGTATTCTATGTACTCGTTTTTTCTGTTGCTACATCTAATGATTATTTTAAATATTTACAGCGCCAAGGACCAAGTTTTCGCATTGGCCCAGCATTTTGTCCCATAATCAATGGAACAGAAGTTTCAGAGATTCTTATTCCATCAGGAGCAAACAAAGTTGTTGGAGTGAAAGTTCACATTATTGGAGTAAGTTTCTCCCACTTTGGTGGTTTTATCGTAATCAACTCTCCATTAATTAACTTGTCAGTATTTAAATTAAAACAAAAACGCTTTTCTGACGAAACTCCTCTGGAAGGCTCTATCAATATCTGAATCTGATATTTTGACATTTATTTTATTATTTAAGCATAAATAAAATCAGAAATATGCTGTCAAAGAGTGTTCCCCACTAATTAAACCTTAACAATATCAGATGAAATGGGAGCAATAGAATAAGCAGTGGCGTGGCGTGCTTTGCGATATATCGACTGATCTGCCATTTAAACTCATAGAAAAGGATCTATAGACTGGGTGTTCGCAACAAACACCTTAATAATCGATTCTTTACCATTGCTTCATAAAATT